GAGTGGAGGATGGAGAAGAGAAGAGAAGAGAAGGGAAGAGAATGAGGGAAAATATGAAAGAAAATAAAGTTAAGAAGAAGAGGGATGGGGGAAGAGGAGCCTCTCTATTGTCTCCAGTATAAGTCAAACATAAACAATGTCAGAATCTGACACTGTTGGTAAACATATATTACGACACAGATATCCTATGTAATTGCCCTCTTTTCAATTAGTGTGAGTTAAGTCCAACTAGGAGTGGCCAGTATGGATAAAATCAAATATCACGTTATATGTCATTTTTTATCACATATCAATATATATTATGACTTAATACCTTCTCTGGAAAAACCATTGAGAAATTGCTCATATATAATATCAACTGAAAGGGTATTTTTGGCTTAACAAACTAGGGCTGCAAACAACGATTGTCTTCACCATCTATTAATCTGCAAAAAAAAAATATCTATATTATTGGGTTATTGAAATAGTTAATTTTCTGTGGATCGACTTATCAGTCAGTCGACGAGCCATTGTATCTCTAAAACAAAGAAATTTAATACCTGTCAAATGAAAGTATGGATGAAAAATATCAATATAAAAATCCCAAATTGTCATAAAGCCATCCAGTTTGGTAAAATCTTTATAATATTGCCCAAATCCTAGGAAAAAAGTAATACATGTTAAGATCATGGAATATAGAGACACATCCAAGAAGTAGGAACGGCTTATGGAGTCATCCCTCTCCACTGGCCTCGTACTGAGCCAGTGTCTTAAGACAGAACAAAGCTTCCCATCCTCCATCTCTAGTCTAATCTCCAGCCTGAAAAGATGAAAGGCCTGCATGTTTGTTCCAAGGAGGAAACCCTATCTCTCCAAGACAGAGGAGACCTCTCTACATCCATTCCTCTTTTCTTCTCTCCTTTTTTCTCCCCATCGTACCTCACCTCTCCTCACCTTTCCCCTCTTTTCCCTGTCCTCTCCTGGGGCGTTATACAGGCTGCCTGTCTGGCCTGCTCTTCCTTATCTGTAGCCGTGTCAGGCTTCCCACTGGATGAGTAACTGAATGAAGGTGGTGGTGTGCTGCTGCCTTAGCCTAGGTGCAGTTACATTTGACCAGATGGGTCTTTTTGTTATATGAAATCTACAAATTGATCAAATGTGGGCTCTCTGAATGAAAACTGTAGGGCTGCAACAAGCAATTATTTTCATTATCGATCAATTGATGATTTTTTTTTAATTGTTTGGTCTATAGAATAGCAGCAAATTGCAGATATTCAACTTAATATCATAGAAGACATAGAATCCCAGCAGATATTCACATTTAGATGCTGGAACCAGTGTTTTTTTTTGTTTTTGTTTTGTTTTGTTTTTTTGCTATCTTTGCCTAAAAATCTGTTGAATTATCTGTTGATCAAGTAACAGATCAATTAACCAATCACTTCAGTTCCAGAAAAGTGTGAAACAAATTTTCAAACAGTGAATGAATCACATGAACATGCCAGGTCTAGATGTGTTTATCATGAGTGATGCTCAATTTTGAGAAAATGTGTCTAAAATGTGTGTAATTATGACACCTCACCCTGTATTACTCTAACCCTAACCTAAGTGAACCTATGTGTTTGGATGATGAACAGAATCACATTCAGTTTTACTCTCACAAATCCATCTGTAATCATTTGGTATTGGTCTTCAAATTTGCAAGTTGCCTACACTTACAGAAAAAGATTCAAATGGATGCAAATGTTGACACGTGCATAAAAAGCTCTGAGAGAGGTACTGTGAGTACACTGTAATTAACTACAGAGATTGTGTTGACTCTACGCTAATGTTGCTTCTATATCCGTAAAACATAAGAAAAGTCAACAAGAACTCACTGTGTGGAGGATGTATACACACAATTTTACACGTTGGATACAGAGGAAAATAATCTGCACCAATCCTGAGCTGATAGGTTACAACTAATACCATACGTTAGGAGGACTCAAACTGCTCAAATGTTACTGCAAGCGAACACAGAATTCATGCTCTAATTGTCCAACTTACACATGCATGCATCTTAAAGGAGAGCGCAAGGTCTCAGTGACAACATGTTGTTCGCAGCTCATTCAATATCTGAGCACTGGCTTTGCTGAAGCTCTTGTCTGCAACCAAGGCCGCCAAGCTCATTACGCTCCCTCATGTCATGAATGATGAGAGACAAAAAAGTTTAGGAGATGGAAAAACACACAAAAAAAAAAAAAAAAAAAAACACCCCAGCCCCATCCCTTTTCAAAAGCGCGGCCACTTGACATGAAAACACATGGGAGCATGTAAAAGAAAAATACAACTAAACAGATACACACGTGTGCGCACTGACACACAAAAAGGTGCATGTGACACATATGCATTAAATAAAGGTCCACCATATAAAATTCTGGCAGCAACACAGTAGGACACAGCTCAACTCCTCCCCTCCGCACTCTACTTTCTTTCTCTCTTTTTTTTTTACCTCTTTCATCTCTCTATTAGCTCTGTCAATTGTTTATCAAAAGCAGCGAGGAGGCGATTGGAGCCGGGCATTTGAAAGCTCGTGCTGCGAGATCCATTTTAAAATTCATGACAGGTTAATGGTATGTTAGTGGCAACATTAGGACCCAGTGAGCTTGCGTCGTGCTCATTCACATTGAAAACAGGCTGCTTCAAATGACTACTAAGCAGTCCTCATTCTGAGAGGTAATTCATATTGTAATTAACTTTTCAATCACAGCTGATTAATTAAGACAGGCCCTAGTCTGTAATTATGCATCTATTTTTGACCCTAATGTGGATCACTAGATATTCAAAGATTTTGCGGCCATGATTTAAGCCACTTTCTTCTCTAGATGCAAGTTACTGATCTTAAAAAGCACCACACGATATTAAACAAGCACAGGCAACACACAATCAGTAGTGGTTTAGATGTTTCAGGGAATCTAAACTGTGGATGTTGACCAGTATTAGGAAAACAATCAGGTGACATCATCAGCCCAAATTTTTTCACCAAGAATTGCCAATGTGCTCTCATCCTGGTCTTTTTGTGTCTCGACTAAGAGTAATATCTTGAGCCTCGACTGTTCTTCCTCCCATTGTGATGCACAATGCAAGGGTAGGGAAGTGCGCTTGATGTTACCGTTCCCAACAAAAACCTGAGATTAATAATTCAGTGTGGCTGTGGGATAGCTTTATTTTGTGTCCACTGAGACCAAGTCTTCTTTCATGAAAAATTGAAAAAAAAAAAAAAAAGAACAGAAAAAAGGGGGGTGGGGAAGAAGTCGGAAAACTAGGCTGGGTCAAACTGCACCCAGTTGCCACTGTCAAGCCCTGTTGGTGCCCTTATGGTCTCTCTTGCTTTTCGCTCATGCACAAACACATGCACAAACACACTCGCGCACACACATCCTTCTAACCCTCACTCCTAGAGTAAACATACCTTCTCCATAACAGTGCGAGGTGAATCCGCTCATGCATCACAATCTACCATCAAATATTTATCACGGAGCAGCAGTGATTTTGACCGTGTGCTCATGCTTTTGACAGCACTCGCCTGCTGCAATACTTATTGGAGTAAACACGGACAATCCAATATCGTTGTTCCTTTGAATGCTTGTGAAAGAACTCAAAAGAACACAGAGCATACAATATAATCCATCAAAACTTCACTGCATATTCTATAGGCTGTCAGACCTGCTGGGAAAAAAAAGGAAAGACGTCATTGTAGGCAGTACAACAAGAGCTGATTTAAGAAATGATTAGCAATGACTGGTTTTTCAATATAAAGGAATGGCACATGTACATGAAAAGCTGTTTTTGCACACACATCCCCTCTCTATCGCTTAAATTTTGCCCAACTTGACCAACCATCTGACGGACGGAGATGTAGAGGAGTTAAAGCAGTTTATCCTCATGATGGACCATTTTTTTTCAACCACAGTTGACATAAACATTATCTCTGAGTCTTGTCTACATGATTCATTTCATTTACAGAACCTAATCATATCTGCATGCTGCATATTCGCCCGCTCTCCGTGACATTAGGCAATGTCTTCAACTGGCAGCTCGCACTGAGTAACTTGAGTAACCTCGAGTAAATAAGTCGCTGGCATGGATCAGAAGACACATCTTCATGCTTGAGCAGACACATTTAAAATGCCACCAAAACACCGTCCCAGATTCTGCCCTCAGTCAAATGACATCAAGTGCTCACTTACAGGTCCCTAAACGCCTCAGTATGAAGCAAAATCAGCCAGCGGGCAGTACATGGAGCAATCAAAGAGATAAGCATCCCATTTAACTTGAGTAAAAATCCAACCCGCAGAACATTCTGGTGTCTTGCGTTATCATGCTGCGCCACTGGATTCAGACAAGGAGGGTAACTAGGTCAATGATGCTATGTAAACTGTTCCACTTTACCCCTTGCTGGACTCAAAATGGAGTTGGCTGAGGTGGAGTGCGTATAGGAGAGAGAAGCTTGGTGATTCAATGTGACAGTTATCAACATCCTCTGGCTAGTGAGAGGACAGGCCTGTACAGAGCTGCAGAGCCCCAGTAATGGCAGACTACAACAGTAAACAGGTAAGAAGATGACTCACAGTGAAACAGAACATAGTGTCCAAAGAGCAGGGAGCAGAGCAGAGCAGGGAGGGGGCTGAGATAAACAGCCAAAAAAAAAATGGCAGCACACCTCTCTCTCTCTCTCTCTCTCTCTCTCTCTCTCTCTCTCTCTCTCTCTCTCCATCAAACATTTAATCTCACAAATTTGTCATTGCAAGGGTGGCCAACAAAAAAGGCTTTACTTGTGATCTTTCATAACTGAACAAAGTTACAAATGTTGTCCATCATTTGAACATTAACACTGGCATTTTACCTTGACATATTACACATTAGTCCTGATTTTGAACAGGTTATTCACTGTATGTTGCTGTTTTTTAAACATTTTTTAAGCACTAAAACCTCTGTGTTGAAGGGCCCAGCTGAACAAAGTTCTGATGCATTCCTCATCTTACCTGAGCTGAGTGAAACGGTGTCTTTCTCCCATGATACAACAGTGACGTAGGCCTCAACAGAAGCAGGGATAATGCACTTGAAGACGGCTACACTGCCTCTCATAGCCTTCTGGTCAGCCACTCTGACTGTGTAGGGTTCCCGTGACACTATCAAAAGGAGAAAAAGCATAAATACATGAGAGGTCTCATTCATAAGAAATCAGTTGTGTTTTTGTATTCTTCTTTTTCATTTTTGGGGAGAGGGTGGGTATCTAGATTTGGACCCAAGGATCAAGCTCCCCTCTAGTAAAACTTCAAACCTGCTGAAGTATGAGGCTCACCCCAATAATGCAACGCTAACGTTTCTGTTCTGACCACCGCATCTAATTATTTCAACTTGGTTTAAGAGAAATGATGTCTTGTGCATCACTTTGGCGTGGCGGACTGGCCTTAAGACTACAATACCAATAAACATTGGCCACCATTGCTATGATGAAGAAGACAGTAAGAGCGGTTAGTTCAGCTTATCTTTTCAATCACTTATCTGGTGCAAGATATCCAATCACTAACTGAAATCATGCTCCAATCACTCTGAGCTTTTGCACTTTGACAAAGATACATGACAGGGTAATGAAGATGTTGGAAACCTGCACTAAATTCATTTTTACTACACACATTTATACACTCACATTAATTTGTCTTTCAAGTGTTTGACTTTACCTGTTGTGCTATTACAAAAAGCACCACCACTGGTACAGTTGCTGCAACTACAACAATTACCCTTTCTTTTATTATAACTATGATTTTCATATCTTCTTCAACAGGTGCAAATGACACAAAATTTTCGCTCCTCTCAGAACATCCTCTGCTAGTACGACTACTTTTTCTCTCACTGCTACCATTACTAGAAGTACTCCTGCTACACTAAGCTCTCCTCTGTGGACTCACCAGCTTTGATGTGGACATCCTGACTCCTAATCTTGCCAGAAGGGTTTTCGGCAGTGCAGTAGTACGTGTTGTCGTGGATCAGCTTGCTGAAGCTGGATGGCAGGAAGTTGAAGATCTGGAGGGTTCCATTGGGGTGGACATGGCGGATGCCCGGGACATCGTAGATCTCCTCGCCGGTAGCCAGATACCAGCGCAGCGAGGCAGGCGGCGCACCCCCAGCAGGACAGGGCACTGAGGTCCCTGTGGTGCTGGCAAATACTACCTCTTGCAGAGATGCATTGACAAAGTATAAGCTGGAATGTAGGTCCTCACTGAAAACTGCAAGAGAGACAACACAAGATGCTTGCTTTTACAACCATAGATTTGCACAATTTTTAGTATGCTGTAGTATTATCTAAGTTCTTGTGTTTATGCATTTGTTCATTGGCATTGACAAGAGACATTGAGATGATAAAAAATGTCAGATTGTAAAATATGTACTTTTTGTCCCTCTGTTTGATATTTGAGTGTGAAAATGTTTATTTCAAATAGCAAAAATTGGAAAGCACAAATTAATATTCCGTGAACATCATTCACGGTAAGTACTTCTACTTATGTGACATGATCATTTGTTTTGGATTCATCACTATGTTCCTATCCCTGGGACTTTGTGAACATTAAATTAACATAAACTACAATCAATTATGAAATAAGGTCAGCTGCCTTGATCATATTCCATTTTAAATTTAAGTCATCACAGTAAAGAGAGTGACGTTAAATGTAGTTTGTGCAGTGGCATTCTCTGGAGGATGAGAAAAGGGTAATAAATGTCAGTGTTGGAACAGTTAGCTTCAAAGTAATCTACAGATGCTTGATTTCTGACTGAAGAAGCCAGCAGCTGTTTGCAATCTGAGGTTCTGTATTTATGAGAGCAAGTCTGTTTGTATTTTTGTATTTCAGGCAAGAATAATTGTATATACAGTATTTGTGAGTGTGTATCTCGCTTGCTATCTCAGCCTGGTGACGAGCCCAGAGGCTCTGCACTAAATGGCTTACAGTGGCACTGGCAGCTGGCTTGGATCCTCCCTGGGGAGAAAACATTTTAGCACTTCATAAATTCCTAACAAGGTTTCAAATTGCAGACGATTCCATGCGTTTCTCTGCTCCAGCAGCTCTCAACCAGCAATGAGACAGTCCAGTGACCTGCTCATGTACATACACTCGCACATCCACATTTGTTGTTACAAATGAGGAATACTCATTCAAAATGATTAGCACACTAAAGATCAATACTGCAGCATTTTTTTCTACAAGAATTTGTCGACATATTGGAGAGCTGGCCATTTGCAACCTTTCTGAAATGCAAACAGCTCTGCACTCTCTGTGTTGCAGAAGCAAGCATATGCACTGGTAAATCTATTTTACCAATGCAGATAATGTGGACTGACTGTGCAGGGTTTTCATCCACATTAAAAAGGTAAGCAGAGGAGTACAAGTCCAATAACTAGCTATGAAAACATATATTGTATTCTTTATGGTTATCAGAGATTTCTATGTGCCTCACTCCTCAATTGGAATTAGCAGATATCCACATACAGTATGATATGATAAAATACAAGTGAGAAAGTAATACTGTAAGCTATCCTGCCCCGACAGATACAACAGAACACAGTTACATGTAACTGTATACAGCATGAGGGAAACTTTACCTGTATATGGTGACATCATCTAATAATGAAAGTTTTGACTGTGTGACACAGAGTTATATAGTGTTTTCAATGTCAGGAATTTATCACAGACTTGCCTATATCACCCTTTCCACAACAAACTAATTTATTGGGGTAAAATGTCTTAGATTTTCTAACACAGCACGAAAGTGAAGTGGGCCAACTGACTGAGTTTTTTCTTTTAGCTAGCTAGCTTGCAGCTTCCGGAAGGGATGAAGTTTAGCGTTTTGTTAGCAAACAGCTGCATGTCTCACTAAATTAAAGAACACATTAATGATGCATTTTCTAAAATGAAATAACTACTTATACTTAATTTGGAATTATAATAAGTGTTTTTTGTGTAAATGGTGCACACTGGAACACTGCAAAATCTTTTTGATACAGTCATAAAATTGTAATTTTCAGACATTTCCCTCAATCATTTTGAAACATACTCCACTGGAACTTTACTTATGCAGCTTTTTTTAGTCTCCTTATAACCTAATAAATTACACTTTGACTGGGATGTACATTATTATTTAACTATTACATGGCAGAAAATGAAGAACTAGAAGGGCACTCACAGTCTATTTCTTTTTTTTATGTTGTTATGTATATTTTATGTTATGTTGTTTGACATTGGCCTTGGCCTCCGCCAAACCAGACTTCAGAGAAAAAAAAATCTAATTCAAAGTAAATGATCTGAAATATGCCCTCAAATTTAATGGGTTCTTCTCTGGCACATGCCCCTCCACCAAATTCGGTGCAAATCAGTTCAGTATTTTTTACGTAGTCCTGCTGACAAATAAACAGGCATGGGTGAAAACTTAACCTCCTTGGCATGTAACAAGCACATCATCTACAGCCTGCAGAAACTACAGTATGGTCAACAGCTGCAGGGAGCTTCTAGGTGCTAGGTCTGACTGATATGGTGAGTTTCAACCAGCATAAAAATGTGGATGGCCACCAAGAGTAGCTAGTAGAAGGTCCAATCAACACTACAAATAATCATCATCACAAGTACAGCCAGTACTTCTATGGAAGATAATTAGAAAGAACAGATAATACAATATGGGAATATTTTAGAAAACAGAATTTGGTACTGGGATATAACCATCTTCAACATTATAGCTGGGATGTAGCCTGTTGGGCAGCCTACAAGAGGCAAATATAGCGGGACAGTCTGATGACTGAATCCATCATTTGTTTACCTGCCAATGCCCTGTGTTTCTATATGTATGCTGATTTAATTTGTAAATGCTAACAATGCACATTCCTGACTCACAGCTGTACAGAACTGTTTGTTACTTCCATCTGTGAATTGTACAAGGTGATGACTAACAATGCACCTCTGTTTCTGCACATATTTTTGTGCATATGTTAGAGGCTCAGTCACTAGATATAAAACTGTGAACAGCATGCATGTTTTCAAGTCCTTGCACGTGGAAAATGAAATAGGCAGCAATGCATCCTGACAAATTAAATTGTCTGTTTGTCACCACCGCTTTCCATAATCTTTCTCTCTGCTTTCTGTCTACTACAGATTGATAAATTTCAATATGTAATAAAGTTTATGTGAATAAAATCATAAACATTTAAAACAATAATTTGTGGTCAAATTGCATTTGCGAATAATCTGATGTTGCTTCATATTTAGTGAAAAATTGATTCATGACATTACATTCTTTCACCAAAATTCTTTAGCTCTTATATTATTAAATTACAAAATACTGATTGTTTGTATGAGTAAAATAAAATTTAGAAAGGGACAGTATTTTCCCAACAGAGGAACTATTGTATACTCCTGTATAGTCTCTTACATCAAAAAGTTTTAAGCTATTTGAATCTTTTAAAATGTGGTGGGATAGCGGATACTGGACTCTCAGTGGGTCTGTGGCACCGGCCAAGATGAAAATAATACATCAAAGTCATATTAAATTCTGATTCATTCTCTTTTTTCCAGCTGGCACAGGGAGTATCAATCTTCTCAGTGCTCTGTTGATAATACAAACTGGAGCCATAAGGAGTGGGGGGGGTGGCAGGGGTGGCAGGGGGGATGTCAAAAAACCCACCTGTTCATGGACAGTGCTCAAGGTTAGTGACAAGGAGCAGACAAAGAGTAATTTGTGCGAATTAAGAAAACAAAATAATATTTTCTTCATTACACATAAAAATGCAATGACTGAAAAAACTGGCACACATCAAAGTTTGCAGAAAATACAATTTGGGTACTTAGTTAATTGATACTTTGAAAGTTACAGAGCTACAATAGAAAATGTCTGGAGAGAGGTAGATCAAAGAAGTGTGTGCTTGCTTGGAAAGCTTCTATTCTGTGCAAGCATCGGAGAAATTGGATTAGGATTTATGTCATGGCTGTTTTGATATTCGTCTATTTCACATATGAAAAGTATGTGAGAGCAACTCAATTTAGACTGGCTGAGTGATAGTGAGATTGATTTAATTAAAAAAAGAAATGGACTCTGGTGGAAGGGTACGTATCACTGCGCTATTCGTTTTCCTAATTGACTAAACTCAGGAGCCCAACCACAAATGGTCCAGTGACGCAGGTACATCACCCCCTCAGACCTCGCAAAGAGCACCATGTCATGCCCCAACAAACGGCCTCAGGGCCCAACCACTTACTACATTGCCCGAGAGGAAATCAGTAATTGGCATAATTTTTCATGAGCTCAACCGTAAAGGTGAAATAAATGACACTGTTCAATAATGCATTATATGCATCTATAATTGACTATGATTTTTTTTTTTTTACCAACGCGATATCTTCAGGGAGAAAGGGAAGAAGGAAAGAAGCTATTTCATTTAAACCGTTTCTGTTTCGGGACCAGCAAAAGAGCAAGAATGCATCATTTTTTCCATTCATTCTTTTTGAGATGTATGCTGTTCTTTTCTGGGACTTACTCTTATAGTTTTGGCTGAAATACTTTGGTAAATTAGCATACAATTATTATAATTGTCTTCCAAGGTTCATACAGCTGACGGAAGAAACTGTATAATGTATACAAGCATAATAACTTTTAATATTTAGACCTTTTTTACATCGAGTGGACTGCTGATGTTTTACAAGCTCTACAGTGAGGAGGTGAGTACATTGTTTCTATAGTTATTCTGACCAAAAGTCTGACAATAACTTCCACAAGACCAAAGGGGACTATATCATTGGAACAAACTTGTAAACAACATTGATTATCACCAGTGGTTTCTTTACTCATCCAGTAGCTACTGAGCAACATTGGCATTCATTTAGAGGCCACCTGATGAATGTGAACCCACCATTCACTCTCCTTTTAGCTCTATTTTGTTCTCTACCAAATCCTGAGGGAAATACTTTAACTGCTAAATGGCCCACTATGTTCACTAGCTAGTTGCTAGCTGTGTCTGCTGTTTGATGCTGGGCAGCATCACTCACTTGAGGTCTGAGTGTTTGAACCAGCAACCTGAGGCTGCATCTGTAGTTTTTAGACTATGAAGCTGCAAAGCCAGATTAAACTTCATATTGAACACAATAAACCTGGGATTTCAGAACACCAATGGTCATTAATATTTTTTTGTTTTTCATTTTCTTTTTAATAAATGCTAGCACTCTTTTCTTAGACAATAATCTGAACAGTGTTTGCTGCATTACTATGCATTACATGACTGTACAGTGCTGTAAATACATGTTGTGCCTGCTTGGCAAAAGGATAATTAATTATATTTCAGTAAATGTATTTCCTGTAACTTGCATCAGAATTTAGTGTTAACTCTGATGAACTGTTTTCACATTATTCACATCTTCATGATGTATTACGTGATCTGGGGACGCAACTGCAGTAATGCTCCCACAGAGTTACTGTACAATACGACAAACAATACCTATGGTTCAGTATCATCACAGGACTGTGATCCTTCACACAATGGAGCTGATCAGTTGACAGGGTGTAACCAACCATGACAGTGTGCTTTCAGAGCCACTGGGGCGCTTCATTTAAGTAAACGTGCAATCAATGCCAATGGGAGCAAACAGCAGGTACAAATTAATTCTCTAACTGGCTCTCTGCTGAATCACAAGTTACCACAAGATCACAATTTCAATTTTGCATTAACTATTATATTAACTATTAGAAACTGCCACTCGGACACCTGATGAAGTCGTGTAAAAGTCATGTAAAGTTGGTGTGATTTCCACCCTCTTATATACCAACAGTCTTAAGTGAATGGGCACAGTGGCACATGAGAAACTGGTGACAACCTATTTAACTCTCACTCCATAGTTACATATTCTGTCTTTCAAGCAGCCTCTGGCTTTTTTCATGAACACTTTGTGACATGCGAAGAAGAAAGGAACAGCAGAAAGCAAACAAGAGGAGGCAAAGAGAGGATCATAGAGACAGTGGGATTGATTCAGCTTCCCATATTTCAGAAGGCACTCGTGTTGGATCTGTTGAGCAAGAAGAGCCATTGTCTGAGTTGTCATCGCCGCCACTGCAGGGGGGGGGGGGGGCCTCATCACTGTACACCAGCGTGGCATTGGCGCTTCACAGTGACAATGTGACAGCAGGAACCCTGGGTAATTAAAGCAGCTCTCTGCTCTGTGCCCTCAGGGTAAGTCTGCCTGGGATGTGGAGATCATACCTGGCTCGCTCACATTGAAGAATCACAGTTGCCAAAGAGCAATTTTCCTCCTTAACAAATTCCTACTCCAACTCTGTGGGCTTATGGATAGCAGCAATGGTATGATGTATGCAGTGCTAAAGCCTGCAACCAAGTTGTGTTCACAGCAGCTAAAAATAGGTCTTTGACCTGTCCATGACCCAAATTTCATTAGCACTGTATAGGAGTACCCGCTTCCATTCTAATCTGATCAAAACTGTTGGAAAATCATATCATCACCAAAATAAGTTTTACTGTATATCAAAGTCCATGAACCTGAAAGTAACGTATAGTAGCTAGAAGTTCTGAGACAGGCAGACAACAACGATTTGTGGCCGAGCAGTCCAGTGTGAGTAAGCATTCCCA